CTGAGCAAGGAGCCCGATGTGGGACTCAATCCCAGAACCCTGGGATCATGACCTGAGCCGAAGGCAGATGCTTAACCGACTGAGCCACCCAGGCGCCCATAAATAAAATCTTTAAATAATAATAATAATAATAATAAAATGTATGTTAGCTTCTATCCAGTAAGGAAGTGGTTATTTACACAATGTTAAACACAGTATTTTCCACCAAAATTCAGAATATTAGAATCAGAAGAAAATAAGGGGGATCAGACCCAACTGGTAGAAAGTACCAAAGCACACCACTTCTCACACTGCTTTGCACTAATTGTAGATGTATCTCTCTCCCTGCTAGACTATGAACAATTTGACCACAGAACCAGGTTTTTGCACTATCTGAATGTCCAGCTCAGCATAGCACCCAATACCACTGGATGTTGAATAAATGATGCTTTCCACCTTGCCAAATTATATTTAGGACAAGTAAAAGAAAGTACTGTTTCATGAAAATAGAAATAAAGTTAAAGTACTCATAGACACTGCCCCCGGCCCCACCCAACCCAGATTATTGTGGAGCAAATGCCAGGCATCATATAATTTCATCTGTAGTATTTTAGCCTGCATGTCTAGAAGATAAGGATTCCTTTAAAAATAACCCTCATAACCAAAATCCCATTATCACACCTAAAATGTTAACAATGCTTCCTTAATATCAAATATTCACTTAATGTTAGAATTCTTCATTTTCTCCTAATTTATTTTATGACTTATTTGAATCAGTATCAAAATAAGGTATATACATTGCATTGGTTGATATGTCTCATCTCGGTTGTTCTTTTTTTTTAAGATTTTATTTATTTCTTTGAGAGAGAGAAAGAATGAGCTGCGTGAGGGGCAGAGGATGAAGCAGACTCCCTGCTGAGCAGGGAGCCCAATGTGGGGCTCGATCCTGGGACTCTGGGATTATGACCTGAGCCGAAGGCAGACACTTAACTGACTGAGCCACCCAGGCGCCCCTGTTTTATCCCGTTTTTATTAAAACTTTATTTCTTTTTTCTGAATTTTTATTTGAAACGATTCAAATGGACAGAAAAGTTGCAGCAGCAACAGAAATAGCAGTAGCAGAAGTGGAGGAAGAGGGAGAGGAAGGTGGCACAGTGAGAAGGAGTGTGCACTTTCTTCCTAGCCACTGGGGACTCCCCAAGAAGAGTGTGCTCATGACTAACTTTGCTGTGCTCAGATGTTTGCCAGGGCTGCCCCAAGAATAGGTAATCCCAGCTGGAAAGCTGAGGAGACCCTGAAGAAGCTTATAGCAGGAGCAGTAAGCAAACCCTCTCCATGAGGCTGGAAAGTGGAATTTCCTGGAAGGAAAATCTGGGCAGTGCATCTTTGTGTCTTCCATGGTCCACTTTGTGACATATGGATCCTCTACTTGGCAGGGGATTGAAGAACAACTCTCCCCAGGCTCTGGTGGTTCTCTCATCCTGACAGGAGAAAGAAGAGACAGGTTAGTAGGACAAACTACAACCCTTGTTGCTACAGCTTATGACAGTGCATCATGCCCTTTTTTTTTTTTTATTTATTTGAGAGAGAGAGAGAGAGCATGGGGGAGGCAGAGAGTGAGAGGGAGAAAGAGTTTCAAGAGACTCTGTGCTGAGCACAGAGCCTGATGTGGGGCTCAGTCCCAGGACCCTGAGATCACAACCTGAGCTAAAACCAAGAGTCAGCTGTTCAACCAACTGCACTACCCCAGCACCCCTCAAGTCCTTCTTTACTATCCTAATTTCCCCTCATTGATCTTGGTAGCTTGATGAGGGACCCCAAACCCTTGTTTGTGAGGAGCTCAAGCACTCCCAACTTTAACACCTTCACACTTTCCTAGAAAGTGTAAGTATGGACCAAATAGAGAGATTTCTAGAGAAGGACATCCTGTTACTTAGAAGAAATTGTTTGATTTAGCGGAAGTCATGAGATAGGAAAAAAGAAGTCTCACCAGTTGACTTTCATGTCACGTGAGAAAGTACAAAGGGAAGCTCTTAAAGAATTATAATTACACAAAACCATGCAAAGAACACTTAACTAATCTACTCTGCTGCAATATGATAAAGTGTGAAGACCCCTAGTACTAACATGAAGCTCCCAACCGTGACATGACTTCTAGGCGAATGGGTCCACTAAGGAAGGGACAGAATTAGCAAAGTATTAGGCCCTGTGGGGAGCACCAAATCACAGATTTACAACCTACAGGAAAAAAATAATAGCACACATGAAACAATCTGGAAATGACAGTAATAATGAGGCTAGTTGGATCACCAGGCAGAAATTTGTAAAATGCAGGAGCAAATCTCCTTGCCTTTTGGAGAATCAACTTGGAACTTAGAAAGTCTAGGAAGTACTAGTGTATTGTAGGGTAATTGCTACTAAATTCTAAAGAATCTGTGTCTTCCATGGTCCACTTTGTGACATATGGATCTTCTTCTTGGCAGGGGATTGAAGAACAACTGTCCTCGGGCTCTGGTGGTTCTCTCATCCTGACAGTAGGAAGAAGAGAGAGATTAGTAGGACAAACTACAACCCTTGTAGTAAAACAAAAAAAAGTTTTATTTTTTTAATGCCCATATCATTAAACCATAGCATGTTAAAATTTTTGACCCTTACCCCATGGGTTCTGTTTATGGTTCTTTTCTGGTAACAACTATACATTATTGGTTAAAACAATGATGACAACTTCTCCTTTGTCTCCATGCCTCTCTGTCTCCTCCACCTAGTGTACATGATGCACTGCTGCTGGACTGATTTTTGTGGCTGACACACCGTCCAGGGATTCCCCAGTGAGCCACACTCTGTCCAATCCTCCCTCCTTGAGTGCACATGATACCTGTCACTTGCTTCTAACCAGTAGAATATGGCAAACGGTGATGGGCTGTCACTCCCTTCATTAAGTTACTATCTACAGATTTATCTATCTTTATCTATATCTATAGCTACATAACTCCATTTTCCTTGCACCCACTAGAGAGATGCTCTTTGCTGGCCTTGAAAAAGTAAGCTGCCACATGAAAGGTCTTTGGTAAGGCTCAGGTGACAAGGAACTGTAGGCGTCCTGTAGGACATGAGGGTCCTTAGTCATTTACCCACAAGGACAGGAATCAGATTCAGATTCTTCCCTAGTTGAGCCTCCAGATGAGATTGCAGTCTGACTGACATCTCAATTGTCGCCTTGTGTGATCACAAGCAGAGGACCCAGTTAAATTGTGCCTGAACTCCTTTCCCATGGAAACTTCGAGGCAGTACTAAACTTGTGGTAATTTGTTATATAGCAATAAAAACAAATGTAATGTTATTAGGAAAAGCACCACCCTATATATTGGTCAAAAGTGTTCAGTGGCTTTTCACTTCCTTTAGAATAAAGTCCTGAAGGCTTCTAAGGGTATTCAAGGCCTCTCCTTATCTGAACTTATTCTATTTTCCCCTTGTTATTTTTTTATTACTGGGCTTAGGTCCAGTCTGAGAAAGACTGTATCAACCAAAGAGAGAGTTCCAGGGCAAAGATTGCCCATTGAAGGAGTCCCTCATGGGGCAGAAATAACTAAGTCTTAATACCACAGTTTCCCCTATATCTGCTTTATGTCCCCTGTACTTCACTTCCAATTTAACTCTCTGTTTATTATATATGTGTCTATATATATTCATGTTTTACATTTCATGTTATATGTATACACACACTTGTAGACATTTCAAAACTAGCAACAAAATTGTTTTCCTTTCCCAGTTCTTCCTATTCCAAATCCAATTCATTTTTGTAGACCTCCATGAAATCTAATGTGATTATCCTTCCTCATCTCAGCCTAGAAGTAACTCATCTCTTCTCCACTACTCCTTATGTACTCCTTATTTCTCATACTGTGCTATATTGTAGCCATACATCTTGGGGGAAATTTGCCATTCTTTTTAGCTGCCCAAACACTTTCCAATGTTTAGAGAATTCCTCATTTTGTGAGCCTTGGTGGGAAGCAAAGCTTATATAGAACTGAACGTGCCAAATTTCTTGGCTTTGCTTTCAGTTAAGGTTCAATAAATAGATGTTGAACTGAATTTTTTGGTTGTGTAAATCTTTTAAGATTTTTGTATAATTCCTCTAGATGACAGGAATAAATAAATAATTTACTCAAAAAATATACTCAGGATCAACTACTGAAGGTCCAAGTCTTAATTTTCAGGAAGGTTACACATGTAAAATATATATGTGCATATAAAAATGTGTGAGTTTTTCTGAAACAGAAGCATGTTATTCATTAATATTTGAATCTTTATTTTAGTCATGTGGCTCAGGAGATTGCACGCATTTATATATAGACTTTGGCAATACGTTTTGTAAACTTGGTAGAGAGGGGCCGGAGTGTTTGTAGTCTGAAGGTTTCTCATTAATCTTCTTATTAACCTTTGTATTCCTGGGAAGGTATTTGAAACATGTAAGTTCAATTAATATTTGTTGAATAAAAGTCAACTTTATCTAGGAGGGATATTTTATAGATTTCCTTTACAAACCAAACAAGCTTAATGAAGCCTAAGATTATCCCCTGGTAACCACTCTGCTTCCTATATTTCCAAAAAGTTCTTGTAAATTGTAAAGGGGATTATGAACTTAATGGTTTAAATGTATTCATCATTACAACAGAGTGAATGAGTATATTGAACCCAGCTATCCAAAGAATTAATTTCTTCTATTTAACATAATTTCCCTGCTCTTCCTCTGCCCCCATGTGATTGCAAGGCAGTTAGTCAAAAGTTGAAGAAAATCGTAGAATCCCAATTTGCAGTATAAGACAATTTCAGAATTGCTGATTTTCAAGTGTTCTATTGATTCCTTGGTCAACATTATGATTTAGTTTTTCTCAAGATGGCAGCAGAGCTGGTCTCTACAAATAAACAGCATATAGGAAACAACACCTTAGACATAAAGGAGGCTAAATGGCCTAGTGAGGGAAAAGGGGGTGTGCCCCCCAGAACACTGATAGGTCTGCAATGTGTTGCAGGAAGGAGGACTGTCTATGCTGGAAAGAAGGGGAGGAAAGAGTTCGTCACTTGCAGGAATAATAAATTGACAGGAAGCCTTTTGACTAAACCAACACTTAGGTCTCTTTTGACAGGAAATGATCCTGTCTCAAGGAGTTGTTTCTGCCCTGTTCTAATCCCCTAGTCAATCCCCTGCTTCAGACCCATCCAATAGGATTTTGCTACCCAGAACTCAGTCCAAGGACCAGCAGCAAAGGGAACCTGGGAACTCCTTAGAAATGGAGGCTCTCAGAAACCCACTTTAGACCTACTGAATCAGAAACTTCATTTTGACAGCCTCCCCAGGTGATTCGTTTACAGAACTTACTTTTGGGGACTGCAATAGAATTCTTGTCCTATAAATCCGTTAGTGAGATTATGAAGGACAAACTGACCATTCATTGGCTACCAGCATCGCACCAGTTTTTCCCTTGGCTACTATTCATTCATTCAATAAATATTTGGGAGGCAGATGGGCAATCATAATAAGTAATTAACATTTATTGAGCTCGTTTAGCCTCCTAGATACCCATGAAGTTATTATGCCTATTTTTTATATGGGGACTTGAGGACAATGAAGGGAAGTATCATGCCCCAGATGACAGTAACAGATCTCCCGCTACACCAGGCTCTACCGCCCACACAGAGAGTGTACATTCATTCCCTCTTCTCTACAGGAATGTTGCACAAGGTCAGACTTCCTTTAGTCCAGAAGCAGAGTTCCTCCTCTGGCTCTCTCTGTCGTGGGCAACATTTAAGTTCGAGGTCAGAAGGAAACAGTAACTGAATTCCAGAGCTAACACTTTCCAAGTGTCTGGACAGAGTCGCAGGGCAGAAGAGTAAACTTGCAACATCCTGGGAACACCTAGACTTGCCATTTCATTCTTCCCTCCATCTTGGTCCTCCTAGGATGGGCATTGGAGGCGAGACGAGAGCCTAGACCAAACTTCCCATAATAAAAATGGCGGCCGTGCACTCTTTGCCCACAGTCGACACCCTAGCCTCCGTTCCGTCTCCTTGGTAACGTGGCCGGCTTCTCTGGCTCCAGCCTCGGCCAGGCAAGTATGCAAATGATGATCAATTCCCTCCCCCTCATTTTTGCGACAGTTGCAGCGAAAGTCACGGCAGTGGGGTGTCAGCTGATTTACTGCAGCGGCGGCAACGGCAGCTTGCAACCTCGGTGGGGAGACGCCGGCTGGGCTCGGGTTGTGGTTTGCCTACCCGGATTTGAGCACCCCACATCTTCCTCACATAACGTCCTCGCCTTGTCCACCTTTGACGGGCGCCCATGGGTGGTGGGACGGACATCGCGGCATGAGATGAAGCTGTGACAGGTGAGGAGGCTTTCGAGCTAATCCAGGGGGAACCCCAGCATGGGACGTGCTTGCAGTGAAGGTCAGGGGCCGGGGTTCAAGGGTCGCAGTCCGTTCTGGCCGGGGGCGGTGCCAGCTGTTCGAGCGCTGCTGATGGAAGTTCTGTTCTTGACCGAGCCTGCAGGTTCAGGCCCACAGCTAGGCGGCTTTACCTGGAGCGGGGATTCGGCCAGGGGTCTTTGGGGTTCCTTGGCCTGGTGAATGACATTTGCTTCAGGTGACACTGGCTTTGGTTTTGAGATGGGACCGCCCTGCCCTCAGTGGCAATCTAAACAGTGAGGTGGTTTGTGATGATGAGTGGGTGGTTATTGACTGCGCTTTCAGATAACGTGCTTGCTTTTGGGGTACGCATGCTCTGCTTACCTGTTGGTACTCCTCTCTAGTTTGCTCTTGCCTAAGGTACTAACGTCTGTTAGAGTTTCATCTTTGAGGTGCCACCTGCCTGCCCTCCATCCTTTTGCCCTAGGACTTGGTTTAAGGATACCTGCTACTCCCACTTACTTACTTTTGGGTCCCAGCGTTCTGCAGCCATATGTTTGGAGTCAGCATTACCCTGCCCTTGATTCAAAAATTGCGTTTTATGTTTTGATTCACTTGCTTTGTCAATTTCTCAGGTCCCAGGCAGAATTTGCTGGTTCTTATAGCTTGAAATTATGGCAGGTACAGTTGCATCTTGGACAGCATTGGCAATGTTGATGCTGCGGATTTTAGGATTCAGTGAGAGGAACAGCTTGCTTTCATGGTAACATTTGCCATAAGCCAAAAATGGCAGGCTATGACTCTTTTAGATGCTTATTGCTTAGGACTTTATGAATAAGATGGCAAGAATCGTAGGGTGTAAAAGAGAAACTGAGTTTTTGAAATTTTGGTATGACACAGATTTTCTTGCTTTATAAGCTACTTGTGACAGTGGAAGTGGAGAGCAGTTTAAAAGTAAAAATAGTGGGGCGCCTGGGTGGCTCAGTCGTTAAGTGTCTGCCTTCGGCTCAGGTCATGATCCCAGGGTCCTG